TTAACATCTAAGACTTCTTCACTCAGAAATTGCAGGCACACATCCGTGCGCTCCGCTAGGCACATTAGATCACCAAACATGAAAAGAAATAGTTGGAACTAGAGGTTTCTTTGTGAGGATGGAAGAAATACCTTGATCAATTCGCTGATAAGTGTCCAGTTTTAGCGGGGAATGAGCGCGCCAGTAATAGCCTGGTAAGGCTCTACCTCTGTTGCCCACCGATGGCTACCCCAACTCGCCATCGGGTTCTAGCTGTTTTAGCAGAGACGGAGCAGAGCGTTCACGTTGAAGGCGTCAGCACCAATTCGACTCGAAGTGGAATCAACGGGTGGGAAAGGATCCATAGCGAAATCTTGCTTCGATCGACAATTTTCCGCGCCATTCGCCTTTGATACATTGATGACAGCGCGCCTTCCGGCTTTTTCGGCCAGTGGGGCGGGCGCGATTTCGCGAGTGCGACTCACTCACGACATCGTAAATTTTGAGTGATCAAATGACTGATGACGTCATATTCTGTGAGGGCAGTGGAGAAGGGCTTGCTTCTGCTCATGGGAGGACATCTAAGGAATATTTTGCCGTAAAACTTCATCAACAGCGGCACCCTGTGCGAAGAAAAGTTTGATGATGTGCGCCATAGGCAAAGTGACTTATTTTTAGCCACCCCTATATATATCTACTTCGAGCTGACACAGTCTCTAATTGGTGGCAAGCTCGTTTGCATTCTGGACCCTACTAATACTTGTGCCCAAATCTGAATTTTACCTTCCATCCTCTATGGGTTTCTATTGGAACCACTCTGACTCATTGTACTTTAGTTACGCACGTTCAGAAAGGAGCAGTTTGCACTAGGGCTCTCGTAAATATCGAGTAATAAATAAATATGTGTGATTGAATCTGAAGCAAGCATAACCGAACAAATTGCACCTTGCACAGTAAAGACCAATCCGACGATGCAATCCACTGCTGACGAGAAATCAAATGATGCTGCCTCGATTAATAAACTCTTTTGGTCCTCGAGCAGCACGTCCATTCGAGTGGACATGTTTGATTCTCCATTTCCACTGCCCTCCTGATCAGTCTCCATCGGTACGTCTTCATCAGCCTTATTCTAAACTCGACCATACATTGATCAAAGTTGCTGGGAGCAAAATAGTTGCGGATTTGTTTTACAAATTAATATGCAAACAAAGCCAGATACTGCTTAAAAATTACATCATTGTCGATTTTAGTGTTGTAGAGTGTTGATGAAATGGTTTGAACGTCAGCCTCCATATCTGAGCTTAAAGATGACGAGCGGAAGCCGGCTACCGCATGCATAGTCCTCCAAAGAGTAGCTGAGCTGTCAATAAATATACGACGATGTCCACCTGCGGAAGACACTAAAAGGACGGTATTGGCAAGAATCCGAAAAATCAAGTTTGTTTTTATTCAGAATACCTGAAGCAGGAATGCATCGTAGCAGCAACCATAATGCATGACGCAACCAAAAGTAGTCTTTGAAAGGTTCCCAGTACTTCTCCCGGAGAATGTACGTTAGGCGAGCTATCGGATTCACAGCCAAGTTCCGTTCAAAGACAATGAGGAATTTCTCACGCATTTCTCGATCCTAGAAATATTACTTCTTAATAAGCAAGATTGCTGATGTTGGATTGAACTATCCCATACTTCCTTTAGAAGCCCATTTCCTACAGCCCACACCTAACCCTACGTTTAATAAAAGAAGCGATCTGCTCCACTTAGGAATCATGTGGAACGCTTGTTCACACTTCTGAATCTTTAGCCCAATCTCGTTGTCGATTCTCAAAGCAGCAGCGCCGAAGCCAGATTTACGATAGGCTTGCTTACCGCCATTTTTGCAAGATGGAAAAATAAATCATAAAAGGTTCAGTTTCCTATAGAAAAGGTTCACCTCAAGCGAGCTGAGGTTTTCAAGATTCACATAGTTTCTGTATACTAAGAAAAAGTACCTGTGCGGTTAAACCCCAATGGAACGCGTCCTCCAACTTCTCCGCATAATCAGATGTAAGCAGAAGTGGATGCTCAAACACAAAGAGCACAACTTTCAAGAACATTTTCATCAGTTCACCATTTGTCCTGAACAAAAAGAAAAACTAAATTACTGTGACTTTCAAATTGAAATATTATATACCTGTATCGCTTCTCGACTACACTCTGTAAACGAACAAGAAGTGGAAGACCGGGATTCGCGCAGTTCTGAAAATGAACGGTTTGGAATGCAAGCGCTTAAAGGAATCTTCCACGGACCATGGACCAGTGGGCGGGACCGGAAGTTTTTGTGACGAAATGCATGGTAGGTACGGATCCACGTGTCGAACGCACGAACGTGAACAGGATTCACTTCAAACCTTCCCATGAACGTGGATCCGTACCTACCATGCATTTCGTCGCAAAACCACTTCCGGTCCCGCCCACTGGTCCATGGTCCGTGGAAGATTCCTTTAAAAAAGGCCTCCGCTCAAATGTTTCGAGTGCCCATTTCCTGCCCTCGTATGCCACCTTATAAGTGTGGAGCTTGAATGCTAAGATGCCGTACACGTAAGAGACAATATTGGAGCATGTCTTTCTAGCCTGCGTGAGTTCGCCTGTTTCATTTCAAAAAAAAACGGGTACATTTTTAACTGACAGGCATAGGTACAGGGGAGCCTGCTGATCCGTGATAGCACATCCCTTCTAGTTTCTTGAAATGGATTTTGTGGATATTACAAATGAAAAGGCGGGATTGCAATTCTTTGATGGATATTATTGCTGTCAACAGCGAGTAAAAAAACAGTTTCATTTATGAAAATTCGAAACTCATTAAGAATCAAGAAATAAGATAGCGCATGGTTGGCATTCCACACTGCAAAACGTTGTGGGCATACCTATAGCAAAGAAATTGAGAATATATCTCAGCCCTTTTTTTCAAAAGCATCTTTCCTTTAGCTAGGTTCCTAGGTATAGAAAGAAAAAAAAGCAGAAAAGTGGCAAACTGATCTCCGATGTGCTCACAACCAATTCGGATACGACACGCAGTACCACGTCGATGATTTTGTCGAAAGTGGAGCGTTCAATCAAAGGAAGCAAAACATTTTGGCATATGGTTCTCTTCGCTTCAGCTGATATCGCCTCAACACGAGGACGCAACATCTCCAACGCCATTGCTATCATTTCAGCAGTTGCTACTAAAAAAAATTAAAATTGTAATGCAATATGACGAGATAGCGGAATAAACAACGAGCTGAAAAACTAATTTGACATTGAAATTACTGACCCTTCTCTCTGGTCGCTTCACCCTGCTCAGTAATGTGGCCGATGTGCTCTCTTACAGCCTTCTCAAGTACCTTCAAATATTTATTGTTTTATTTTATCGCATTTTTATCTTATTTTGTTTAGTACAAATTTATTTATAATTTAATTTTTTTAATTTTATTTAATTTTAATAGTCGCATTTAGTAGCCATAAAAATACACAGAATCCTTTCATACAAATCTTATACATGCCATTAGAAAACCAAATTGGATACTTCTTTCGCAGCTACCAGAGTGAGCAAGAACGGGCACAGTGGTTAGGAGCTCCATCTCCAGCTACATCTACCGCCCTTGGTATCAAATCCAGCCTCTGGAAGGGAACACTTTCAACTACCAGGATAGTAGTTTAGTAGAGGCACCCCATTCGAGGTATACTCGAACAATTAATTCTCGATCTTCAAGTAGGGTCAGACATGATCATGGGAATTTCAGATTCGATCCTTCATTGACAGAACAGATACGGTCTTCGTTGACGATACATCGACTCCCGCTAATCCTGCACTCAACATCACAAGGAATTCAACTTTGACGAGTTTGCAGATAACCGACCACCTTTCGGTTTACCATGTATGGGGGAACAGCAGTTTCAAAAAGCTGCAAAGGCGAAGAAAAGAAACGTGAATCAATAAGGATTACCTTAATATATGCCTGTAAACACATTGCGTCCAAGTAACCTGGTTGTTGTGTGCAGATGACTCGAAGTAGCGACAAAGCTGTGAACGCTTTCTTTATCATGCGAGTCGACGATCTGTAACTTTTAAAGGACGAATTCACGATGAAAAAGCAACCCATTTCAAATTAACCTAGGGATGGTGAGTGGTACACGAAAGAAGGAAGAACCATGAGAAACGGCCCAGAACCCGAGAAATGGTACCTTTTCGCCCGTTGATGCGACTCTCATCGCTGTGCCCTCTTCAACACTACGCTCTCTCAGCTATCTAATCACTCGCCACGTATTGAACTACGGCGAGTGATCAGATGATCGGTGGGCGGAGATCGCCGGACCCGCCAGCTTTGAGGCATGATAGGTCGCCGAGGTCAAATTTTTCCATGCGAATTGCGCGTCAGTTCGCACCCTCAGGAGGTCCGTGGGTCCCTCAACTAGGTCAGTTTCCCTTTCTTCGACCTTCATTCTAATCGTGAATTCCTCCTTTAAGGTCAGCTTCAGCTCTAAGCTTCGTATAATGCAGCTAATCTTAAGTTGGCTGATTCAAGTCTATACAACTGAACTGAAGGTTCGTATCAACGAAAGTTAACCAAGAAAAAGCCGCACAAACAAGAACATTTTTCGAGTATTGTAATTTAGATATTTATACTGAGAAAGAAGATGGACAGTACATAGGCCAGAATCAGATCATTCAGAATTAGCAGCACACATCACTCAAATTTCAAAAGCACTCACTTCACATAGGAATTAAAATGGTCGTTCAAGTACTTCGATATAAATTGATTCAGGATCTCGAATTCGTACATTCCAGTCATCGAACAGTTAGACTTTTCGAATAACTTTGAGACGAGCATATTGACAAGTCGAACCAACTAAACAATTAAAACTTTCACTGCATGCCTTAAATCTACACTCATTAGATTTGGCAGTCAAAAAAACAGAAAAAAAAAGTTCTCACCGTGCTATGCCCACAGTTGAGACAAGAAATTATCGCTCTTTGAAGAGGTCGCACAGTTTGGAGCAGTAATGGCTTGGGCTGAAAAATACTAACTCAAAATAGGACTCTTAAAAAACTATTCCATAGTCCTGCTTCCTGATTGTTAGAGTATAAGCGCGCTCACGCAGAGCAATGGAGCTCTCCCCAATTCGCTTTCGCAATTGATAAGGTACTTCCAAGAATATGATGAAAAGTTTCATAAGCCCCATGAGAGAAATCGAATCTAAGACAGTCTCCTTCTGAGTAAACTGAAGATAATGGCGTCATCCACCCAAGTACTAATCCACGGACGGAGCCTGTGATTGTGATGTCAGAGGATGAGGGTGTATTCGGTAAAAAGGGGTGAGAAAACTCCTGCAGAGTAGTAATTTGACTTAACAAAACCTTCCTCTCCCCAATACCTAGGGTCGACAGATTTTCAGAGATAGAATTCGAGTGCACCCGGACAAAAATCGCCAGAGTGGGAATCTCCAAGACGGGTTTTTCTTCCCGACCCAAAATTTATCTGACCCACGCAATAATCGGCCGCGCCCCCCTTTCAGTTCAGTAACACCACTTACCATGATTGTTACCAAGTTGATCACCACTTCGAGCGCTTGCTGAGACTGCGATATTGATTGGGCGAACTGTGGCCTTCGAGCGCTTGCTGAGACTGCGATATTGATTGAGCGAACTGTGCCTGATTTTCCTGCCGTACCAAGGACTCTGGTGGTACCGTTAGCTCTTTCTCAAGCCTGAAGTGTAGTTAGAATTGTTTTAATAATCAAGCCAACACAATCAAATGGTAATCCTACCATCCGACTTTGATAGTCACAATATCTCCCCAAACAGCGGACTTGAGGCACTGCTTCATTAGGCCTATACTTCGCTTCCCGTTCTCGACCGTCGCTTGATGCAACTGGTGCGGCTGCACCCCAGTTGTGGGCTACAAATCATACATTGTAAAACGCCGGAACATCCGAAACATAGTCCCATAGCTATGTGGTGGCCTTACCTGGATAGCAAACTTCAGGAGCATGGCTACTACTTCATCTACACATTCTTTTGACATTTGTTTGTACAACTGGTCGTCAAAATCACCACCTGCACTGCCTGGAACCAACTGATTTGAGCGTGTAAAGAATATTACTGAAGTTCTACTCACTTGTTGGAATGCCGCTTGACTGTGGAGCTGCCGGTCGCGATGCCTCCTGGTCATTCAGTAATGACTCAAACTGAATAATTAGCTCAACGAAAATTAACAATAGCCTGTTCAAAACGAAAGCCTGTATTTGCAGTCAATCTTTTCTAAATTTCCCACCTCATCATCGTGTGATGGAAGGCCTTGCGTCAACTGTTCAACCTTTTGCAAACGCAGCAACTCCCACTTAATTACCATCTCGCACATATCCAACGCCAATTTTCGAGTCATCACCCTGGAAGGCACAAATAATCGTGAGGGAACAGAGAGCAAGGGGAGTGTTACCGTACCCATCCATTGCAGAATTCGGAGTGCTTATGACACGACGAACAGCGTTCATGAGTGGTTTAAAGAGAGCGTGACGACACGAGAAGTAGGATCGGTAATTGCGGACAACCATGCTCCTAAAAAATCAATTTTCAGGCCCCATTCAGAGCACAGAAAAGAGGAGAACAGAGCTATCATACACTATGTGTTGAATATGCTGCAGGCTGTGAGCTTCCTCGCAAAGAACCCGCTTCACATTGATGAACATCTGATGGTGGCCGTCATCCATTCGGATTGGCATCGCTGCTGTGACCACATCGGCTGCACGTCGCACGAGTTCGCGACTGTCGTATTGAAATGAACCGCACAGCGCTTGGAACACCTACAGAGAAAGCAATTAAATGGGGTTGGTGCTACAGTATTCAAGTAGCAGCAGCAGCGAAAAACACACCTGCAGCACAATCTTCCTGTTTATCGTAAATTTCTGCACAATGTGCGAAATGAAGAGAAAGCCGGTATAATGCGAACAACCATGAAAACTCTCAATCGCCATCCATGTTTTCTAAAAATTTTGTCAGCAGTCAGAAGAAATGAACAAAGGGGCAAAAATATGGTGCTTTCGGAGTCATCGATTTTATATCCCCACAAACTGCAAAGCAGACGCAACATCGCCTCTGCTCTGACATGAGCAGAAAAGCTAGAGGTACATCATGACTACGCTGCTCTGATGCGAATCAATTGCTCCACATCATAAGGCTCAAAATACTTATGGGTATCGAATAGGCCGCTTGCTTTGTTACACATGTAACATATGTATTATGGGTACATCATGCTCCTTCGGGATTTTTAGAGAA